GAGGAGCCGCCGGGGCCCGGCTGGCCGCAGCTCGTCTCGCTCTTCCTGCCGGAGTTCCCCGTGCGCCCCTCCGGCCGCCAGCAGCAGCTCAAGGTGCCGTCCGGGACCCCCGCTGTCCCCCTCCCGCCGTCCCTTGGCGCCACCCCGGGCTCCCCCGACGGGTCCCGGTGCATCCTGTGGGCGCCACTCACCGTCCCGCCGGGCCCCTCTGTGTCCTACGGGATCCCCCGCGCGCCGTGGCGGGTCGCCCGCCGTCCTCCATGTCCCCGTGCATGGTGCCAGGATCCCCGATCTCCCAACCAGATTCCTGTGCAACGCTCCTTGGCTCCTTGTGACTCCCATCAGGGTCCCCGTGCACCTCAGTGAGGTCCCCAAGTGTCCTATTGAGGTCCTATGTGTCCCAGGTCGGGGTCTGCGTGCGGTTTGTCACGATCCCCATGCACCCTGCAAGGTGGCCAGCCTCTCAGGTCCCCAGATGCCTTTGGGGCAGCACGTGCCTGTGCCAGGGGAGGGGGGGTCGTGTGCCCCCTGTTTGTCCCATGCTGGGTACCCTGCACCCTCCTCACCCTGTACCAGGGACCCCAGCCCTATAGCAGAGATGATGCCAGCCACACATGGGTGTCCTGTTGCAGGGCACCCCACTGTGGGTGCCTGTGCTGGGGCAGCCCCCCAGGGGCTAACAGGAGGCTCAGCCCCTGCTCCCCCCTTAGATCCTGGGATTTGTGGCCAAAGGCTCCTTCGGGACCATCCTCAAGGTGCTGGACTGTGGACGGGAGAAGGTCTGCGCTGTGAAGGTGGGTGCTGCCGCTGGGACTGGGGGTGCCCCCCACCATGTCCCCCCCCTCTGCTGACAGCCCCTCGCCCCCAGGTTGTGCCCAAAGTGGAGGTGCTGCGCCGAGACACCCTCAAGCAGTGCAAAGAGGAAGTGAGCATCCAGGTAGGGAGGGGACAGGGGACAACCAGGTCCATGGGGTGCCCAGGGGGGTTGGGGGTGCTAAGGGAGGGTGGCAGCAGCGGAGCCCCCCCACGCAGGGACCGCTCAGCCTCTCTGCTTTGTGTCCCCAGCGTCAGGTCAGACACCCGTTTGTTCACTGCCTCGGGGACAGCTGGCAGGGCCAGCGCCACCTCTTCATTAGTGAGTGACCATCTGCCCCGCGGGCTTGCGGCGCTGGCCCCCCCGCGCCCCCCGCCCGGCCCCGCGTGCGCGCGCACGTGTCTGGAGCTGCCCGCACACGTGTCGCCCTGCGCACGCGCGCGCCTGCCCGCGGCCCTCCTGCAACTGCTTTTGGGGGAGAAAGGGGGGGACGCGGCCAGGCAGGAGCTGGGCGAGCTGCTCCGGCCCCCGTGCCCTCCTGCTCCTCGTGCTCACGCGTCCCCGCTGCTCGAGCAGCCTCGGTGCCCGTGTGGTCCTGGTGCCCCCACGCTGCTTTTTGTCCCCTTGGTGCTTGTGTGGCCCTAGCCCTTGCTTGTTGCGGTGCCCGTGTGGTCCTGGTGCCTGGGTCATCTTGCTGCATGGCCTGGCCACCCAGGTGGCCCTCAAGCTTTTGCCATCTTGGTGCTTGTGTGACCCCAATGCTTGCATGTTCCCTGTGTGGCCCATTTGCCCTGGTGCTTTTCCCATCCTGGTGCCTACGTGATGCTGCTTCTTGCCCATGCCTGGTGCCTCTGGGGCAGCCCATCAGCAAGCCCCGTGCCCGCAGTGTGCTCCTACTGCAGCACGGGGGACCTGCACGCGCGCTGGCTGGCTGCCGGGCGCTTTGCCGAGGCCACCGTCCGCCTCTTCGCCGCCGAGCTGGTGCTGGTGCTGGGTGAGTGGCGCTGGCACAGGCACTGGGACCGGACACCGGGTGCGGGGTGCCCCCCGCCGGGGCTCTCTCACCTCCGTTTCCCCCCCAGTTTATCTCCACGACTTGGGCATCGTGCACCGAGATGTGAAGGTGGGTGACAGCGGTGGCACCGGGTGCGCCCCGGGCGGGCACTGGGGGCTCACAGCAGGCTCTGTCTCATTGCAGATGGAGAACATCCTCCTGGATGAGCGAGGTGAGAGCCCAGCAGGGACAAGGGACGTGGGGCCAGCCGGTACCACAGGGAACCCCACCACCATGACATCCCCGTGGCCCTGCAGGGCACCTCAAGCTCGCCGACTTCGGGCTCTCGCGGCACCTGCAGCGGGGCGAGCGGGCGCGCACCATCTGCGGCACCCTGCACTACATGGGTAAGGGGGCGGCGGGGGCGGCGGGGGGCACGGCCGCCCCCTCCGCTCACCGTCAGCCCTGCAGCCCCCGAGGTGCTGAGCGGGGGTCCCTACGGCCACGCTGCCGACTGGTGGTCCCTGGGAGTCCTGCTCTTCGCCCTGGCCAGCGGCAAGGTGAGCACTGCAGGGGCTGCCAGCAGAGCGGGGATCCCCTCTGCTCCCCGGGAGCCCCTCGAGCCGCCCCGTGTTCCCCGGCAGTTCCCGGTGGTGCCGGCGCCTGACCATGTGGCCATGCTGGAGCGTGTCAACGACAGCAGCTACGAGAGCCCGGGCACCCTCAGCCCGGCACTGGCCCGGCTGCTCGCAGAGGTAGCCGTGCCCACCCGGACGCCAGGGCCCCCGCTGCCCCCGTGCCATGGGGTCCCTGCGGCTCAGTGTCCCCCCTCCACCAGCTGCTGTGCCGGAACCCGCTGCGGCGCCTGCGCTACCTGCACCACTTCCAGGGCCACCCCTTCTTCCGTGGGGTGGCCTTCGACGCCGAGCTGCTGCAGAAGGACCCCGTGGACGTGGCCGTGGCCCCGCGGCCGGACGAGGAGCCCCTGCCCGAGGCCGCTGTCGCCTTCGAGGACTTCGAGTGCGACCTCGCTGCCGCTCCAGATCGGCCCTGGCCCGGCTGAGCCCGGTGCTCGGGCCCCCTTCGGCATCACTCAGGGAGAACCCCCCGTCCAGCACCGGTCCGGCCCCGCCGCGCCGGTGTCCCCTTCCCTCCACCGCGGTACCTCTGCGCGTGCTCGGCGGGAGCAATAAACCAGAGACCCCCGGGCTCCCCCGCGTCCCCTGGCCCGTGGGGACCGGAGCGGGAGGGACGGGAAGGAGCGGAGCAGGGGACATGGAAGGGGGTCGCTCGTCCCGCCCGCCGTTCCGGCCGCGCCGTCGGGCGCCCGCTGCTCGGCGCTGCGCGGAGCCCCCGGCGGGGCGGGGCTTACAGCGAGGCCCCGCCCTCTGCCCCGTCCATTAGTCACGCCCCCGTCTCGGTGACGTCGGGCGGCGCAGCCAATGGGAGCCGCGCGTGGTTTTCAAACGAGGCCCGACGGCAGCGCGCGGGGAGGCGGCGGCGGAACCGGGCGGAGCGGGCCGGGCCGGGACCGGAACCGGGGCCATGCGACCTGCGCAGCCGCCCTCCGTGAGTGCGCGCGGGGATCCTGGTGCGGGGGTGCCCGTCCCATCGGGCAAGTCCCGCACCCATGTGGGGGGTGCCAGTCCCACGGGGGCTCCCGGTCTCTGTGTTGGGGGTGCCTGTCCCGCCAGGGTCCCCGTCCCGGGGTTGAGGCTGCCCGTTTCGTGAGGCTCCCGTCCCGTCGGGCCGGTCCCGGTGTGCGGGAGGCGCAGCCCTCCGGGTAGCGCGGGAGGGCCCCGGCGCGTTGGTGGCCGTGGGCGGCACGTTCCCGCTGTGGCGGCCGTGGCGGGGAGGCCGCCCCGTCGGTTGGGCCGCCCCGCGGGCTGGGCCCGCTCCCGCTGTGGGGGTGGAGGAGGGGGCGAGCCCCGGTGGGGCGGGGGGCCCGGCGGCGGGG